TAAGCGCCATTCGCGAGAATTAGACGAATCGTCTGGGGCGATAGAACTGCAAGGCGCTGAACTTTGGCACAGTGGTTCTTTGGGAGACAGTATTTTTGGGCTTCAACTTGTGAAGCGAAATGACATTCCTGGCCATGGTGGTACTACACGACTTCTCGACCCTGACTGGGTTGACATGTCGCTTCTCAAGCAATGGAGAAACCAATGCGATGCTGATCATGGACCAGAATGTCTAAACCCAATGAAGATACCCAAAGTAGAGCCTGCCTGGCTCGTTGACCTTCAAGATGAATGTGTCGTCCGCGGAGGGACGCACACCTCCTTCGTCGCTTTGAGCTACACTTGGGGGACCCAATCAACCAACCTAGCTGTTGATGCCGCCTTGCAGGCAAGACTACGCGTGCCCCACAGCCTGTACGCTGAAAGCATCATGGCTTGTCTACCGCCCACTATTATAGATGCCATGTACTTAACCTCGGCCCTTGGAGAGAGATATCTTTGGGTTGATGCATTGTGCATTGCATCCGCGTCAGGGCGTACGGAAGAAACATAAAGAGAATTGAATCGTATGGGCGCTATATATGCAAGTGCCGTCGTCACGATTGTTGCTGCGGATGGGACTTCATCTGATGGAATCGGCGGGCTCGAAGATGCACGTATCAGGAAAAGTCGGAAACTGAAGCAGGTGGTTGTACCTTTCGGTTCGATGGAGCAGATCGTCTAGCAGAACTATCCGAGACAGGAACTCAACCTCATGAAGCCATACAGCAACCGAGGATGGACATTCCAAGAGTTCGTCCTGTCGCCGCGAAAAATAGTTTTTGGTCATGGCGAGGCTCACTGGCAATGCCACCGAGAAACCATCCACGAAACTGCAGCTCGTGGTTTTAGGGTGAAAACCCTCAATGATTTTATGTACGAACAAATATCAAACATCATGGCAGGATTTCCGGCTCTCAGAAAGCTGAACAGGATTCAATCAAGTTATAACGCACGTCGGAACTTCAAATACGATGAGGATGCGTTGCCTGGGGTCTTGGGGCTTTTCAATGCGTTTAGTCGACCCTTTGGAGGCTTTGTCTACGGGATCCCCATCAACATGTTTGACGGATGTCTGAATTGGACTCCTGCAAATCACTGTTGCTCTTTAGCCCGCAGAAAACAGTCGGACAGGCCGGCGGAGGCCAAACTTCATCCATCGGGCCTCCCATCTTGGTCCTGGATTGGTTGGAAGGGGTTTACTGTTCTAGGAACCCGACATTCCGCGGGACCGAGGGATCCTGGGGGTGTCTTCATTGAAGAGCGGGCGCCGTACACAAGTTGGTGGGCTGGCGATACTCCACATGATCCTCGTGGAACATCCCAGTCATTCAAAATCAAATCTTCGTGGCATGAGACCGCCGCTGAATACAAGGACTTTTCAAAGCCACTCCCTCCCGGGCGGAAGAGACGAGAAGTTTCGCCAGAAACGAGATGGGAGCAAAGGCCCTATCTCTGTCCAGAAGGTTGTGACAAGTATGTCTTTGTCCACGAAGAATCTTACAGACACCCGGATCTGACGTGGTTTTTCCCTTTCCCTAACAGTGGGGTTGACAGTGGTCCCCTAAAAGTGATTCCGCAACTGCGCTATCTATTCTGCACTACTAACAGGGCGTTTGTCAACCCAATTAGACGGCTGATGGGCTCAGAGACATATGATCCAAGATACTTCAAAGATCTTGTTACGAACCTGGTGGCTTTAGCTTCTCCTGGGTCGAGAGACCGAATCATTGGAGCTCTTCATCTCCATGACGACGAACAGGCAGCTGCGTTCGACGACCACGATGGTAGACCAGGGACAGCAAACCCAGTCGTTGAGCTTGTGGCCATCAACAAGACTCGGAGGTACTCAAAGGTTTTAAGCGGCGGGGCCGATCAAGACGACATCAAAGCTCAGACAACTGATCGTTACGGTGTTCTTTGGATCGAATGGCAGGACGGGATTGCGTACCGACGCGCCAGTGGGTGGGTTTACCAGGAAGACTGGGAACAGCTTGAGCTGCAGGAGATCGATTTGATTCTAGGCTAGGACATGTTCTTTTGATGCGAAGCAAATGTGTAACACTGGATTGGGGTTGCGTGTGAAGTTGAGTAAGGACTTAATACTCGAGTAGTGTGGTTTACCATGAATCTCCCTTGAGCATAGGTTTTCTTTCTCTTTTTTTTCTTTTTTTCTTTCTTTTTTTTCTTCTTTCTTTTAGCGCAATATTGGGTTCTAGTTTTAGCAAAGGGTTTTCATAAGTCAATTACCTTTGGCGATTATCCAAAGAATGTTCTCAACTTATAGGCTGGCTACTTCAAAATCAGACCGTCTATGCTGTCTTTGCTGGCCTGATATCTTCACTTGTCCTTGTCGTCACTGCGATACTGTACTCCTCTCCTTTCCCTTCTACTTTTTCGCAAAAGCATGCCTTTTCTTCTTTTCCGACCAGTTGTCGATTCATCGAACAAGAGCTTGCCCAACAAGATATAGAATGGGACGTAAAAGAAGGGTAAGAATATTGTGTGGGAGCTGGCGGGCCATACTCCCTAGGCTGATGGATTATGTGCAATCTAGCTGAGTGACGTTGAGCTAATCACACACACAATAATTTCAAGCCACGATGCAGGTTGGACGCAGGCAGCTGGAGCCTCATCGAGGCCGTGAGGCCTCGGGATCTCTGGAAGCAATGACCAGCGACTAGCGAATCAGACGACAGTGACCATGCTGCAGCTCGCAGGCAAGTGCCGGCTGTACTAAATGCTGCATGCAGAGCAGGAAAACCAGACGGGTGGGCAACGCGTTGTTGCTGCTTCTTCTGAATGGTAAGCAAACCTTGAAAAGCCGTCCTTAATGCAGGCAATTAAGAGAGGAATTCCTGGCAGATCTCGGGGAACCAGAACCACCCAGCGCGCAGAGCAACTTGGAAGTTGGCTGCGGCTGTCGTGGCCGACACGAACAGGGCGCATCCCAACATGCGATGACTCTGAAGTCGGACGTAAGTTCGAATGGTCTTCCATCTGCATCTCTGCAACTGTGTCTTCGCCATGGACCACGAGGACAGCGCAGCAGCCGCAGCAGGTGGTTTGGTGGAGCTGTATTCTTCGCGCTTCCCGAGGGGTTCCAGCGGCGGAATCTGGACATGCAGGCGGGCGGTTTTATTGGGCGCATCTGCGAGTGCCCCTCTGTACCATGACGACACCAAGCTGCGACGGAGCGGGGCGCATCTTCCCGGGGTTCAAACAGTGCGATGCATCTCTGAAGCGTGCCACCGCGGGAGCCGTCTGAACTGTCAAATCGTTAGCTTGGCCTCTTCCAGAATAAATAAGCACAGGCCTAAGCCGCCAGAATAAGATCCAGGAATGGAGTCAAGCCTCGACTCGGTCGGTTTGAAGAAGTACTGAGTCGCGAGCCTCTCGAGCACAATGGCGGGGTGATTCTCTGAGACTCTGACCAGCTGTCATGAGCGACAGGGATGAGGGCGGATGACAAGGCCGGTCGGGGTGTCACGGCCTGTCACTGCCCTGGACCGCCCACCCTCTCAGCATCGGATGGCGTGCCGCAGTAAATCTGCCTGGTCACAAGGCTGCCTTGGCCGTGATTTTCGATGCCGGGGATGCTGCTGTTCTTTTTTGTTGGGGAAGGTTGCTGACGGATGGGCGAGAGAGGTATTATTTGCATGTCTTGCCCGTGGTCAGTTTCGGTGATGGCAGTTGGACGACATGAACTAGCGTTGGGTGCTTTTTCTTCCCAAGGTGGATTCGCGTTGGTCAGTACAAATGACGTAATGGTTTTTGCTGTGCGAGCATTCGACTCTCCGTCGAGGCTGTCGGGAGATGATAAATGACGGTCAGCAGCCAGGCTAGGCAGGCTACGTGAGCTAGAAGGCCATGGGCAGGTACTGTTAATAGCGTGTCTGTTGAAGCAAGGAGTCGACGCAATAGTGCAGAAATGCGACTTTGGCTGGCAAAGAAAGGCCGGAGCGAACCAAGAAAAGAGGTGAGTGTTTGGAGTTGGGTGAAGGGTGGATGGAAATAGCCCAGCTAGAACACGGTTGAACATGGGTTGCGGGTGGTTGGAGCAGCAGCGACATGGAATACCCTTCCAGATGCAGCCTCTTAGTCGTATCGACCACGGGCAAACCTTGGCCGGACGGCGAGAACAGGCGGGATGGGAGGAAGGGAAGGAAGGAGGGCACCGGCCTGGTGTTTGAGGCCCTGGTCCGGGCCTTCCTTTGGGTGCCTCAGACAGCCGAGTCCATGAGTGAGTGAGTTTGTGAGTGTGAGGTAGGTAGGTGTTCCCGTCACCGAGGACCTTCCTACTGCAGTGTGTCCTGGACGTGGAGATGGGATGGACTCGTGGAGGGGAGCAGAGCGAGCACTGGAGGGCCCTAAAAGGAGGGGCCGCACGCTGGACGCTGGACGGGAGGCCGTGGGCAGTCCAGGTCCAGGTCCAGGTCCAAGGTCCACCTTCTCAGCCCAACTCGACCGGCATCACGCTGCTGCGCCTGGTGTTCTGCCCCTCCCTCCACTTCTTCGCTTCGCTTCCGTCCGTCCCTCTTCCCTCCCCCCTCCCCCTCCTCTTTCTCGCTCTTGAACACCATCCATCATCGTTTCTTTCTCCTTCTCCCGGGCACTTCCCTCCATTTCCATCCAGAACCGCACACACACCCAAAAGCTGCCGACTGTTTGTTCAGACAGCTCACTCACCCAACCGGAAACGTTGGTGTCCCACCAGCCATCCCATTAAATTGATCGGCTACGTACCCTGCTCCAACTAAAGAGCCTACCGAGCAGCGAGCCACGACTACATATGTACATCACCTAGCCCATCAACCCCCTCCGTCATCATCGTACATTCTTTGTTCAACCACGCCTGCAACCGCCCATAGCGAACCGTTTCGCCGTTAAATCTCGCCTGCCGTCTTCCGAAACCACCGTTGCTAGCTTCCGATTTCTCGTCCATCGCATCGCATTTAGCGATGGCTGGAGTTTATAGAGAGTCGACCCGCGTCTACCGGGACCGAGCCGACTCAACTTCATCCGATGAAGGCGGATACAAGAAGAGAACAACTGTCCGCCGTTACAAAGTCGCCCCTAGCCGTGTTGAAACCCTTGAGAGGATCGAACGCGAGCGTGTAGAGCTTGACGACGACGATCGCCGATCACGATATTCCAACTATCCCCCTCCTCTGCGTACTTCCGGCGAATTTCCCTACGCCGAGCGCCCCCGCTCTGCCTTTGATTCCCGGAGCCAGGTTGTCGAACGTCAAGTTATTGAGCGCGAGCGCGAGGTCGATCCCTACAGAACCGACTCTCGCAGCGTCATCTACGAGAAGGACTACGAGCGGGAGCGCCGCTTCGACGACAACCGCAGCGTCATCGAAGTTGAGCGTGATCGCGATTGGGACCGTCGCTCTAATCGCCCGTGGGATCACCACCACCACCACCATCATCACCATGGCGACACCGAAGTCGTCGTGGATAAGCGCGTAGAGCGTCGTGAGGATGGCGATGTTCAGGTTGAGAAGCGTATCGAGGAGTACCGAGACGATCACGGCGGCGCAGAGGTCGAAAAGTACCGTAAGGAGACCGAATATTACTCCCCCGTCAGCCCCCCGCCCATCCCCCAGCCCGTCATCATTCGACAGAAGGCTCCTGAGCCCCAGCAGATCATTGTCCAGGAGGCTCCTCCGCCAGCTCCTATTGTTCTTCCCCGCCAAGAACCCAATATCGTCGTCTTGAGAGAGCGCGAACAACCAATGGTCCGCCGTGACCCCCGAGAGGATGAGTACTATTACCGCCGTGAGACCAAGACTGTCGGCCGCCACCGGGACGATCGCGAGTACTACTATGACCGCCGGGGACGTGGCTACGCCAGTGATGAGGAAGACTACCACTACAAGAAAACCATCATTCGACGTGAGAGAAGCAACAGTTCCGACCACCACCACAAGCGCCACCTTGCCGAGGGTGCCCTTGCCGGAGCTGGTATTGCTGCTCTCGCTGCAAGCCGTAGAGACAGCCACGGTGAGCTCCCCGTCAACCGTGGAAGCAAAGTGCTCGCTGGTGCCGCGCTCGGAGGTCTGGGCACTGAGATCATCCGGCGTGCGCGCAGCGCGTACGAAGAAAACTATGGGGATGACTACTATGACCGTCACCACGGATCTCGATCTAGATCACGCAGCCGCAGCTCCAGGATCAAAACTGGTCTTGGCATCGCCGCTGCTGCTCTCGCGGTAGCCGGTGCCGCCAAGTACATGCAGAGCAACAAGATTGAAAAGGAAGAGGCCACCCGCGGCCGAAGCCGTGGCAGAGGCTACTCTGTCTCTAGCTACTCGGTATCTCGATCCCGTAGCCGCAGCCGCAAGAGCCGCAGCCGTTCTGTCGCCAAGGCTGCCGCCGCAACCGCCGCCGCCGCTGGTTTGGTGAAGCACTTCCGTGATAAGTCCAAGTCGAAGTCCCGTAGCCGATCGCGGTCCAAGTCTCGTCTCAGAACCGGCGCAGAAATTGCAGCGGCCGGCTTAGCCGGAGGCGTCGCCAGCAAGATCTACAAGAATCGCAAGGACAAGAAGGAGCGCGAGATTGAGCGCGAACTGAGCGATGAGGAGTATGAGGAGGATCTCCGGCGGGAGCGGCGGCGCTCACGTCGCCGGTCGCGCAGCAGGTCCCAGGCCCGCTCTCTATACTCGGAGCCGCGCAACGCTGATACCGAGCTAGGCTTAGTTGAGTACGGAACAGCTCCGCTGCCGTCCGAGCCGCCCTACCCGCCGGATGACGGGTATGAGTCTGCAGCGAACGAGAGGCGACGACGTCGACACCGGGATGGACGCGATGACCCCGAGCCGGCGCAGAAGAGAAGCAAGAGTCGATTGAGAGACATGGCGGCGGCAGCGGTTGGGACAGGGGCCGCCGCTATTGGTATCAAGCAGTATCAGAAAAAGAAGGAGAAGGAAGAGGACGATAGGAGATCGAGGGAAAGGAGCGCACGATCCCGTTCCCGTGATAGGTCAATCTCGCGCGATAGAGCCTACTCACGGGACCGGGCTTCAAGGGACCGAGTTTCAAGAGACCGTGCTTCCAGCGGAGAACGTCCACGAAACAGGGAACGCGAGCGTGACCGCAGACGTGAGTCTTGAAGTTGAACGCATGTGGGTGGCCAATGTTACTGACAAGCAGACAGGATACGAAGATGATGCTCGAGCCGGGCATTACGATGACTACAGTCGTCCGCCGTCGCCGCCACACGCGTCGGGCGGCTCGTACTACCCAACTGCGACTGGTGCTGCTGCGGGCTTCACTCAACACCCAAACATTTCGACAACGAACTTGCGGGACCAATACCCGCCGTACCCTCAAGATTACGGGCCACCGATGGGACCGTCTCCACCTATGGCCACGGGCGGCGCTAGTGGATATCCTCCTCCGCCTCCGCCGGCGGGAGGTCCTCCTCCGGCAGGCGGCCCGCCGCCCGGAACGAGGTTCGGCCCTGACCATGTGAGTGAAGACAAATCTCGTAGCGCCTCACCGCAAGATGCCCAGCCAGTCTCTCTGGGTCCTGAGGGTGGGTCGATCTGATCGTTATCTCATTTGTATCTTTACTGCTCTTATGACGATTACTGACAGATTACAGATGGTGTAAAATGGCGAGAGCGTGCTAAAAAGTTCATACCGCCCGAGGCTCTTTCTCGGTCTCGGTCTCAATCGCAGCCCCGCTCGCGGTCTGCATCACCGTCATCTTCCTCTGTCTCCAGTGCAGAGTCAGTCAAGCGTCCACACTCTGCTTCAAAATCGGTCACCTTCATCCCTTTGTCTCCTAAATCGTCACAGACTATGCATCGGCATCGTAGGGACCAAGAGGTGGCTGCGGCTGAAGAGGAGGAGACGGAGAAGCAGCCACCTTCTCTGAGTGAGGAGCAATTAGCAACCATCCGGCCAGTTCTCAACCGCCGACGGTCCTCGTCGGACCCCTCCGCCAATCATCCACTCATCCGCCAGAAGAGGCGTGGCATGGAATTCCCTGTGATGGACTCGGATAGTGAAGTAGAGGTGCTTCCCGATCGCTTTGACTCTCATGGACGTCCTCTGAACGGTAGCACAGGCGCAATGAGATGGCGGCAAGGCAACTTTGAATCGCGGCCCCGCAACGGCAACGGCTGGCACACGAGCGGCGCATGGGCCGTCGGCGGCACGGATGACGACTCAGTCCAAAAGATCGCGAGCAACATTGAAGGCATGATTAGCGGGCATGGCAGCTGGAAGAGTCTCTTGAAGGACGTGGTTGGCGTTGTGCAAGAGGTGCAGCATGGAGGGCAGCGAAGGATAGAGGACGATACGAGCGAAGATGAGGATCACGACCGAAGACGAAGGAGAAGGAGGAGGAGGAGCGGATAACGACTTATGACGTTGCGACTTTTCCCTTATTTTTCCTTGTATGACATTCATATGTTTGGATCTAGACACGATATGATGGCCGATGTAACGACTCATGACTTTGCTTCAACACTTAACGAACGAGACGGTTGTTAGACATGGATACATCACATCAAATGGACTATTTGAATCTCTCAATCTCTTCTCGAATGGCAAACAAGTTGAATACGCGAACAATGTGAATGAGCAAATATCCTGAATAGGTAGGCAAACACTTTGAAGGCAGGCAGTCTCAACCCACATACTGAAAGACATTCAGTCTCAATGGCAAACATTCCGAATTAAGGGACTTGACATTACGGCCGTCTATTGTTCTATCACACACACATCGTCTACATCTCATCATAACTCGTCGTGCACAGGGGGCTTCTCCGGCCTTCCGCTGTCCTTGTGCAGGTCGACGGCAATCTTGCCGCGCCACTTTTGGAACACGCTCCACATCTCCTTCTCCATCCCGCTCTCCATCTGGTCCGGCAGCACCACCACGTAGTCCACAAAGAGGTTGCCAAACTCCGTCTTGTGGTAGACGCTGTCGCCGTCCTCGTGGAACTTTGGCATGCCCTCGCCCTGCACCGTCTCCACATGTCCCGGCTGCACAACCTGGCCCCTCTCCCTTCCCAGCTTGACCACATGCCCGTCGAGGTGCGTCAGGTTGCGCGTCCAGTCACCCATCCACGCCTCGCGCAGCGACAGCACCTCGGTCCAGTACAGGTCATCCCCCTTGCGTCTGAAGAACGTGCCGTCGACCTTTTCGGGGTTATCCGTGCCCAGCTCGGGCTCCTTCTCCGCCAGCGTGACGACCAGGTTTCCGGCCACGTAGTCCGGGCTCGCGTCGGCCTCGTTCTCGTACACGATCTGGCTGTCCCTGCCCGCGCCGCGGGCGACCGTGAGCTGCACCGTGGTGGGCTTGCGCACCACGCGCGCGCCGCCGCACGTGTGGCACTTGTGCTTGATGCTCTGGCCGCGGCCGCCGCAGGCGTCGCACTGCATCTGGACCTGCTGGTACATTCCCGGGGCGAGCTGGTGCTTGACGATGCGCACGCCGCGGCCGCCGCAGACGCCGCACGTGTCGACGGTGCCGTCGGCGGAGCCGGTGCCGTCGCAGTCCTCGCAGATGTGCTGCTTGTCCCACTGGAACTCGGTGTTGATGCCGTTGTAGAAGTCGCGGAGGGCGATGCCGATGCGCACGTTGACGTCCTGGCCGCGGCGCTGGCCGTGGCCGCCAAAGTGGCCGCCGCCGCCGAAGAAGCGCGAGAAGACGTCGAAGGGGTCGTGGCGGTGGAAGCCGCCGCCGCCCTGTTGCTGCTGCTTGAGGCCCTCGTGGCCGTACTGGTCGTAGATCTTGCGCGTCTCCGGGTCGATGAGGGCCTCGTAGGCTTCCGAGACTTCGACGAACTTGTCCTTTGCGGTGTCGTCGCCACTGTTTGTGGAAGAGAGAGGTTAGCTTGGCTGGTGTGTGGTGATAGGAGGGGAGAGGGAGGTAGCGTACGGGTTCTTATCGGGGTGGTATTTCTTGCTGAGTTTGCGGTAGGCGGATTTAATCTCGCGGTCGGAGGCGGACTTGTTGATGCCCAGGACCTTGTAGTAGTCCCCGACGCAGAGGGCGACTTGGACGAGGCATAGGAGCAGCAGCAGCAGCGCTGCCCCTCGGAAGAGGAACATCGTGGGTGTACTTCGAGGGTGTATTAGTGGCCGGAAGGTTAAAAAAGTGCAATGGCTTGAAATAAAAATCACACCGTTCGCGGTAGTGAGGTCGCCCGAACTTTTCAAGTCCTTGAAGGAGTGACTCAAAGGAAGGAAAGGACTTGTCGTGTGAGAGGAAGGGGGGAGGTGGGTTATGGAGAAGGAAGACTCTGAAAGATATCAAAGAAGGCGAGCGCAATTGAACAGCTGCTTGAAATGCAAGTTCCAACGTGTTAAGAAGGGGGAGCTGGGAGGTACGATAAGAAATGTTATCAGAGATTGTTGATTGGATGGCAGTACAATGCAGCCCGCCCCACGGAGGAAATGTGGAGACTTTGAGTTCAGACGACTTGCAGCCCGACAGAGACGTCAGAAACGTCCAAGTTGAGGCCAATACCATATGGTTTTTCTTTCATAGGCTGTTTGTCATCTGCGATTTGATTTTCGCTCCATCCTCGGCGCAATCTCCGATTTCAGGACACAAACACACCTCTCGAAGTATCAAAATCGCCGGCCAGAAGCCTGTAGGAAACCGACCGCGACCATGGCGTCAAAGAAGTACGCCTTCCTCCCGATGGAGGACGACGAGGTCGGCCCCACGAAAGTCGTCAATGAGAAGAAGAAGAAGCACAAATCGCGCCACCGCGACCGGTCACGCGAGAGAGATAGAGACCGCGACCGCAGCGAACGGACGTCCCGCCGCCGCTCTCGCTCACGATCACCGGCCCGCCCGTCGAAACAGTATCGCAAACGAGACACAGACAACGATGACAGGTGGGCGGACGAGGAGCCGCCATCGGAGGTGGAAGAAGAGGTTGACGACGAGCCTGAGTTTCAGGAGTCGGCGTCGAAGCGCGTCAAGCTCAGCCACGATGACCGAGATCGCGAACGAGACCGCGAACGGGATGAGGACTTGTCCGATGGCGCGCGCGAGGAGCTGGAGCGACAGCGCGATATTGAGGAGCGCGAGGCGTTTGCGAAACGGTTGAAGGACAAGGACGATAAGAGGAGCAAGGGCTCGGATAGTAGGAGGCTGCCAGACGCCGCGGACCGCAAGGCGACGATGGAGGACTTGAGGATGAAGAGTCGACAGACGTACCTCGGGAAGCGAGAGGCCGAGAAGCTTGCTCTGCTACGGAAACAAGTCGCCGAGGAGACGGCGGAGCTCAGGAGCGGCGCGAGGTTGTCGGAGAAGGAAAAGGCCGAGTTCGCCAAGAACCGCGAGATTTTGAGGTTAGCGGAGGAGAGGTTGAAGATCGATGACCACAAGGACGGGTACTACATCCCCGAGGACTACATCACGGAGAAGGGAAAGATCGACAGAAAGAGGAAGGAGGATGCCATGTACAAGCGATACGTGGAGAAGGACGAGTACGGCCAGGAGAAGTTTGTGACAGAACACGAGGAGTGGGAAAGGGAGCAGGCGACCAAGGCCAAGGCGCAAATCCAGAGGTCTGAGAGGGAGAATGACGACTATGCCTATGTGTTGGATGAGGAGCAGTATATCCAGTGGAACCTAGGTTCGAGTTTGCCTGGCGAAGGCAAGCTGACCAAGGAGCAGCAGTTCCTTGCGGCGCAGATTGAGGCAGCCGAGAAGAAGCAGCTCTCGATCCAGGAGACGAGGAAGAGCTTGCCGATTTACGCCTACCGAGACGACTTCCTCGCGGCGATGGAAAAGTATCAGATTCTGGTTATTGTCGGAGAGACGGGTTCCGGAAAGACGACACAATTGCCGCAATACCTGCACGAAGCAGGATATACGAAAAACGGGCTAAAGGTCGGATGCACGCAGCCTCGTCGTGTCGCAGCAATGAGTGTTGCAGCACGTGTGGCGGATGAAGTAGGCGTCAAGGTCGGTCAGGAAGTAGGATACTCGATCCGTTTCGAGGACAACACCAGCGACAAGACCATTCTCAAGTACATGACCGACGGCATGTTGCTAAGAGAGTTCATGACTGAGCCTGATCTCGCCGGATACTCTGCCATCATGATTGACGAAGCCCACGAGAGAACGGTGCACACTGATATTCTACTGGCTCTGGTCAAGGACCTGGCGAGAGAACGACCCGACCTCAAACTCCTCATCTCATCGGCCACGATGAACGCCGAAAAGTTTGCTGCGTATTTCGACGACGCGCCCATCTACAACATCCCCGGCAGACGATACCCCGTCGACATCTACTATACCCCCGCCCCTGAAGCGAACTACCTCGCAGCAGCCATCACAACAGTCTTCCAGATTCACACCACACAAGGGAAAGGCGACATCCTCGTCTTCCTCACGGGTCAAGACGAAATCGACGCAGCAGAGCAGCAAATCGCCGACACGGCGAAGAAGCTAGGCTCCCGCATCAAGGAGCTCGTTATCTGCCCCATCTACGCCAACCTCCCCTCCGAGCTGCAGGCCAAAATCTTCGAACCGACACCCGAGGGCGCGCGCAAGGTGGTTCTCGCCACGAACATTGCCGAAACATCGCTGACAATCGACGGCATCGTCTACGTCATCGACCCGGGCTTCGTCAAGGAAAACGTCTACAACCCGGCCACCGGCATGGAGAACCTCGTCGTAACGCCGTGCTCTCGCGCCTCCGCGAACCAGCGCTCCGGCCGCGCAGGTCGTGTTGGCCCCGGCAAGTGCTTCCGCCTCTACACAAAGTTCGCCTACATGAACGAGATGGACGAGTCGCCCATGCCCGAGATCCAGCGCACGAACCTCAACGGCGTTGTCCTCCAGCTGAAATCTCTCGGCATCAACGAGCTGCTCGACTTCGAGTTCATGGACCCGCCGCCGACCGAGGCCCTTATCGGCGCCCTCAACAACCTCTTCGCTCTCCAAGCCCTCAACCACAAGGGCGAGCTCACCAAGATGGGCCGCCAGATGGCCGAGTTCCCCACGGACCCCATGCTCGCCAAGGCCGTCCTCGCCGCCGACAAGGAAGGGTGCGTCGAGGAGGTTCTCTCCGTCGTCTCCATGCTCTCCGAGGCGTCCGCCCTCTTCTTCCGCCCCAAGGACAAGAAGATCCACGCCGACTCCGCCCGCGCCCGCTTCACGATCAAAGACGGCGGCGACCACCTCACCCTCCTCAACATCTGGAACCAGTGGGTCGACGCCGACTTCTCCCCCATCTGGTCCCGCGAGAACTTCCTCCAGCAGCGCTCCCTCACCCGCGCCCGCGACGTCCGCGACCAGCTCGCCAAACTCTGCGAGCGTGTCGAGGTCTCCCCGTCCACCTGCGGCTCCTCCAACCTCACACCCATCAAGCGCGCCCTCACCGCCGGCTTCTTCCCCAACGCCGCTCGCCTCCAGCGCTCCGGCGACTCGTACCGCACCGTCAAGAAGAACGCCACCGTCTACGTGCACCCGTCCTCCGTCCTCATGGGCGTCGACCCGCCCATCCGCATGCTCGTGTACTTCGAGCTCGTGCAGACCACCAAGGAGTACATGCGCAGCTGCATGCCCATCGAGGCGAAGTGGCTCGCGGAGCTGGCGCCGCATTTCTACAAAAAGGGCGACGTCGAGGCGTTGGAGGAGAAGAAGATGCCCAAGAGCCGGAGCTACGACCGGTAGTCTCTTTCGTAGCAGCAGTGGCATACAGATGGGTTTACGTCAGGCATGGCAAGGGTCCGCGGTGCGAGAATATTTAAAAGCCATAAATTGAATATCATATCTGGATGACCACAACCACTCCCCCCATTGGACACGTCTCCTTCGTGTATGGTCCTGATCAACGGAATCTAATGAACAACGTCATTGCTGAAGACTTCACAATCGATTTACAATAGAACATGAGAGCGCCTAATCTCCCCGTATCTCCGCGGCCGTATTCCTTATGTACTTGATCTTCCATCGAAGACAATAGTCGCGACAACGACGACGACGAGGGTAACGTAGAGTAGCCACAAGGAAAGTAATCGCTCTAGCATAGGAAAAAAAAAAGGCGATCTCTAGAACATTTGCAATTTTGAGAACCCAGCCACGGCGGCGCTCTCATCAGATAAAAATAAGCCGCCGCTACTGCCCACAGTTCCATCGATAACCATCTCGACTAACGCGCAGATGGATAATTACTTAAAAATTCCCCCTAGGCTGACATGTCAAATGAAAAGAGGCCGCATCGCGCCGTCTCATGTCACTCATGCAAGAATCTAGGCAAGCGCTAGAAGCGTCTTTCACATGCTAGACCAGCCAATAGCCCCGCGCCTCACGAGATCAAAGTCACATTTCCAGAAACCCAGAATGACGGGAAGTAGTTCGAGTTCGCTTCAAACAATCTTAAAGTTTTGCATTGCTTTCGTCAAGGGAGGCGACATGGAAATTCCCACACTACGTGAATCCAAGCGCTTTAGGATCAGGAAAAATTTCCTCCTCCCCAAAACTGTCCGAACTACGCCCTTTCCCATCACATTTTGAGCGACAGAGTTGAATTCCCTCTTTAGCGCAACTCCATATAATTTCCTTGTAGGTTGAAACGAAGTGAACAAGTCGGGAAGCAAAAAAAGCAGCAATTTGACAGTGTCCCCCCATCCCCCTAAAAGTTCAATGAGACAGCCGCCCCGGATGATATGGCTGCTCGCTTGTGTAGGAAGAAAAAAAGCGTTTGCGTGAAAACGAGAAAAAAGTAATTCGCAGGAAAGAACTTCCACTTTGGTATCAATGGTTTCTCCGTTTGCCTCCGACTCCGTACCAGTAAATTTGTAGTGTTTTGCAGCGCTTCGTCATCCATTTGTCCCCTTCGTCGATAAATGCGTTCTTTTTAACGTGACGGCCCCTCAATCGGGCTCGTGGGCGAGCTCCGGACCCCGCTCAGATCCGTGCTTCCCGTGTGTCTGAGCACCTGCGACATGGTCTCAATGTTGAGGTCGCCGCTCATGTTCAGGTTGTGATGCGACGAGATGGGACTTCCAACGGGCTTGCGCGTCGGGGACATTTCCAGTCCCTTGATAGACCCGGGGTTGCTCGTTGGCGGGGAAGTGGCCGGCTGCGACGAGACAGGCGAGCGGATGGGAGACGGCGACCTGGCGTTGACTGATGACAGCGAGGTCAGACCCGCGACATGGATCGACTCCCGAGAGCCTGCAGCACCTGCATGTCCGCCCTGCTCGGCTTGCACGACATCAGCAAAGGAAATGAAGCTGAGACGGCGAACGTCGGCGTTCTCGAGCGAGTTGTAGTTCGATGCGTCATCGCGGTCGGCAAATGCGCGCAATTCTTCGGTCCAGGATGCGGCCATTGAGTCGGAGGCGTGCGGGGTGCCGCCGTTGGCGCCCGTGACGGCGGCAGCGGCGGGCTGGTGCTGAGCGTGGGTGACGATTTCGACGCTGTCCGGGTCGAGGTGGTCGTCCGTGATGGCTTCCGAGGATGCATCGAGGACCGGCGGGATGTGGTTCTCTGTCTGGATGTGCGACGGGATGGCGGGCGATTGCGGCTTGATTGACATGTTGTCAACGTCGCGCTCGAAGATCTGAGAGCCCGCTGGTGATGGCAGGCGCGGGGAGCTGGAGATGCCACGGCCTGGCGACGAAGGGTGCACGGTGGTTGACCTGGCAGACGCTCTGGAGGGGTCCCTTGACAAGGAGGGATTGCTGGTGACGGTCGCGGCAGGATGCTTGGCGGATGACGACTTGTTGGAGGCGTTCGAGTCCTCCTTCTTCTTGCCGATTCCAAAGAGTCCCTTCACCTTGCTCTTCACGTCCTTTTTGGAGGCATCGGATGCTGGCTCGTTGTGGCTCGAGGGGCGCGGTGTCGCATCACCACCTAATGTGTCGACAGCGGCGGCGGCGATGGGGTTCTGGGGGGAGATGCTAGCTCCCGCGGCGGCAGCAGTGACCGGAGATGGTTCCACTAGACTCATCGTGAAATGGGATTGATTTTATGGCGATAGATTTGTTGGTGCAGAGGTGGTGGTGGTGATTGTTGGAAGTTCAATGTCTTGTAGTTGGGTTTGCTGATAAGGCGCAAATGTAAGTCACTGGCGGGAGTGACCAAGGTTTATGGAGAATGTTCCAAGCAGGGACCCTGACGTTTTGACGTTATTATGTAGGCCGGGGAGGAGAGGGGGAGCAGGAACGGATTCTGGGACGGGACAGGAAAACAGGTGGTGGGGGGACAATAGATTGGCTTGGTGACCCTGTGACCCTGACGTCGATTCCCGCGATTCGCCCTTTTTGGGTCACAGCAAGAGAAGGGGAAAGTGGAAGGGGTTCGACTTGGGGGTGTGTACAAGTGCGGTGATTGTTGTAGGAGCGGGCATCAGCATCAGCGAGCGTCCAGCGGCAGAGATGCCTCCCTGGCAATAGATCCGACACTTGATACTTTTGACACGCTTCAGAACGGGGGCGGGTGACATTATCGAGATGCACATACCAGAGGGGTAAAGAAGGACGCGGACGACGACAGGAAAAGGCCGCGACTGGATGTCTTCGTATGGCCTGCCTGCAATGGGCGCAGCTCCCCTGCGTGCAGGCTTGGAATTGGAAGGGGACTAGCCGATCGAGAATGGGATGATTTACACGGGCGTTCGTTGGTTCGTGAACGTGTGAGAGAGAGGAGAGACCAAGTCAGGTGTCACTTTTGGCGGTGCCGGTTTTGGTGTGTTCCGTCTCTGTCTAATTGTCTCTGATGGGACGGTCGGTCGGGAATCGCAGTGGCTAGCTTGCCCGTCGGAAATCGCAGAGGGATAAAAAGATTGACCGGGTCTTTGGGTCTTGAGTGAGGCGTGGAATGAGTGGCCGAAGATATGGCAGGGCGGCAGCAGTGAGGTACGATGGACGAGGGACGGGATGCCGAAGAGTGGAAAATTCGCGATGCTGTTGCAGGTACCTTGAAATGCAGCAGCAGCGACTGCTGTGTCTTCAGTGCGGGTGTCTTGTGGTCCTGCGTGCTGACTGACGAAGCTGGAGACGCGGGTGACGCAACAGTGGAAGCGACTCGCAAGCAGATTGGGGGTTGGTGTTGCGTGCCCCTGCTTGCAGCGAGCGTGCCGTGTGGGTTGGCCGGTCCAGGTCTGTCTGGTTCTGGGTCGTTGATGGGCGGCCCAGGCCTAGACTGGTGACTTGTGGTTCTCGAGTGGTGCCGTGCCTTGCTGCTGGTCTGGAGACTGGACGGGTCGAGGTGGTGGTCTCTTGCTGTTCCTCTCCAGGGTGAGTGGATGAAAATAGTAGGCGAGGTCACGGGTGCGGTCGCTCGGCTGTTTGTTCTAAGCAAGACATGCACGAGATAAATGCTTGTGTATGCGTTGGAGAGACGGAAAGATTGTTGCAAAGAGCATTCGGAAGGATAGGGAAGCAAAGTGATCCAAGAGGGCAGGAAGGGGGGACACGAGCGAGCTATTATTGCAGTCAGGAGGAGCTTTGATCTGTCAGGTCGCGCTTGTCACTCCTTCCTGTCTATCTGTAGTGTTTTATTTTTCCTCAAGTAGCAGCTACCTTCCCTGCCTCATCACCTCCTCCTACCTTCCGGTGCGTAGGTTCGTACCTGTCACAGCCAGGTCCTCCACTGCCAACGAAGGAAGGGTCCGTAGTCGGGCTGTTTCTTCTTGCTGGCGTGTTCCTTCTGAGGCGTTGAGCTAGGTGCCCGTCACTAAGGCAGGTGGGCAGGTAGCAGAATCGTCCGGTAGGGTCACCCGTCATCCTTCAACCCGTCACCGCACGCAACGCACGCCCTGGCAGCAGTGCAGTCAGTGGCAGCTTGCTTGTGAAGAAGGAAAAAGGGGGCCCATCACGCTCCCCGCAATGTTGTTTAGAGTTCGGGCATTGACGTGATGCGCAGGCCAGTGACATGCTCACCTCTGCCAACCCTCACTGCCCGTCAAGTATCTTGGTCCAAGTTGCCAAGTACAACCCTCTCAAAAAGTCTCCCCTCTCCGCGGCCTCATCCACAACAAAGATACCTCACCACAGAGAGCTTCCCCGTCCAAAGTCCCCGTATCCGATGCCCAACACATATAGATCTGCTCGAGAGCGATCCGACATCCCGCAAGTGCCAGGCCATAGCTCAGGCACCTCGTCGTCGCCTTTCCTCATCGTGCCCAAAGTTAGCCTTTGGGCAGGTACAGCTAGCCGACTGCCAGATATTCCCTCGTCAACTTAGTCACCCCGATGCCGCCGAGCCCGGGAAGGGGCTCAGGGGTGTTCAACTTTCACTCTCCATCGCCTAGCCTCCTAACGAACCTATCCCATGACTAACTCGGGTAGATTTTCTCGACTTCCAGTTGTTCCGTTCACCAGTTCCCAAGTTCCTGATACCTGTAGCCCCTTTCGTGCTTCGTATTCATCTCATCACTTCTGGCACTTACAACACGCCGACGAATGGATACGCGGGGAAGCGAACGACCTCGAGCGCCCTGGGTCGCTGGCGTGTATCGAGTCCAGGCGGGCGGCTTCTGCGTGGGCTGATTGTCCGTGTGTTTTCTCGGCCGGCCGGCCGCCGCCTCGCAATCCGTCTCGAAACGCGTCCTCAACTTGCTTTTTTGGACGCGTCTCTCAATGTTCTAATTTGTTCCCTTTTCGCATACCTCATTTCCCTTTCTTTGCTTCTGCCAACCCGGCATGAACTTTGCGCTCGTGTGAGAACTTCCCTCCGTTGTCTTGCCCCGTCAGTCGCCAAGTGACGCATGCATCTTTTTTTGGCTAGCTCCACGATTTGGACCCTGGCCTGTGACCCCTCCTTTCTTGTTATGCAAAAAAATCCAAACAGAAATCTAATGGTACACAGAGATTCAATGTCTTAGACAACAACGCGCGAGACCGCGTTTTCCTCGGGAATCTATTATTCTCATGCTCCGTTGACGCTATTGATTCAAAACATCATGCCTCGGGAAACACCCGTCTTTCCCGTTGATATCAACCCCATAGTGGAGAGAGCGCGCAAGCCAGAAATGGCGGATGGTGATTTGTTCGTGTCGGCGGCCTTTTTTCATCTGAACAGGGGACGCCCCTCTGAGTCGTTTATTCGATGGAAGCTTCGTTTTACGGGGCCCCTTGGGAGGCTCCCGAAGGTTTCTTTGCTCCAGACTCACATGGTACGGGCTCGATTTACCTCAGACGGGGATTCGGGTTGTTTCCCAAAAGGTTGGAACAGCCACATCATCTCCGGGTCTTTAGGCGGGTTGCTTGAGAGATGCTGTGCTGCGCGAGTCAACAGACAGCCATCCCTGGGAGCCAGCTCGATGCCTCTCCTCTCTGCTGCCAACTTCAAAGCTTCCCCTTCCCTGTTTTCTCTGGCCTTGTTTCCTTTTTTCCCTCCCCCCAATGAGATCCCTTCCTACTTTGGCTTTACCGCTATTGTTGCCTATCTACCGTCAGCCTCGGTCCCGCGTCGTCCCCACGGGATCACAGTCACAATCACACATATCGATGTGCCTACCTACCTACTATGTGACGGTGAAAAGACAGGGCGGTTCTATGGGGCACCACGCAGGCGGCGTTCAAAACTGCTGCAAATGCCGCCCGACGACAGCAATGACGGAACCCACCTCCCACGCCCTCCTCCTGCCCAGAACCAGGACCCCTTTCCGGGCCTGCGCTGCGCTCCCAGCATTGCCTGCGCCCCTCCCCGCGAATCCCTGTGTTAATCGGGCTTCCCGCCGCCTTGCCCATGATTGGCGCCCTACAAGGCACGTCATTGCGCCCAAGGTCCTTTTTTTTTTTTCCGCATGAACAATTCCATGGCATGAATAAACAGTCATCGACGGAGAAAGAATTTTCAAAAGGGGACCAACGACGTGGCTATCTTGGGCTAGTCGTTCCAACGCCTTCCGTTGGGAACTCTTGCAAGTGCCCTTTGCATTCTTCATGCTGCCCCTAGCAAAAGAGCCGGCCCTGGTCCCAAGTGCAAAGGGGCCTTGCCTCTACCGCAGTAGCCAGTGACTTAACCCCTCGCAACGGTCGACCGGTGCAGACAGGGTTCCTATTCCCAAGATAGCAACAAGACCAAGAAACCAGAGAAAGAAAAAGAACCCCTCCATCTAACCAGACGCTTCGCCGTCGCCGCGCCGCGGTAGCATCTGCTAAAACCACCAAAAACCCGTCCATCACAAGGAGCAACAACCAAACATGAAACGAGCCGAACGGGAGAGAGAGCTTCACGAGACTCTGTTTTACACCTTTTCTCCCGCTTGTCCCGCCTGCAGCCTCGTGGTTTCTTTTTCCCTCACCGCGATCGACAAAACTCTTTTTTAAGCTGTTTTGCGAAGCCGAAAGAGAAGCGGTCGAAATCGCGCGCCCCCTTCGTGTTGACTGTTAACTGCCTGCCTCGCCGGCCAACCGCCGCTGATCCAGGGGTTGGGAATTGGAGGGGGAGGCTGGACCGCAGACGTCACCGGTTCTTGGGCTGCGCAAGCTGCGTTGGCAACGGAGGGGGGAAGAAAGCCAAGGCAAAACCTTGGATGGGGGACCCACCTTCTCGGATCCAGCCGTCTATCGGCAATGCAGGTCACACGTGTTACGTCATGTGACATTTGGCGTTGAAAACGATCTTTCCGAATAACAAGTTATGCATTGAATGTAGCTATGCATCTATCCAAGGAGTTATGCGTATATCGCAAGCTCGTCCAACTACTCAAGACTTGGGACTGCTCTAACCCGTCTTAAGCCGAATAGTTGGTGCAGGTCTCCCCTAGAAGTTGACCAGGCTTGCGCTCTATCTTTATGTTGAGGCAGTCAGTTGTTATTGAGATAGCATGTGTCTGGAGAAGCGAAGCTGCAACCTTTGACATAAGCCCAGTATCAAGACGAGCCACTAATACCCCTTTGGGAAAGTCTATGTCTCCCGGTATCACAAAGACCTTGTGGATCGTGAATCATGTCTGCCTGCAGGTGGCAGTGTGTCTTGTATTAATAAATATCTCACGCC